GGAGTCTTTCTACCTCGCTACTCTATTAATTAACACTCCACAATAAACGTCTACACTCCCGCGTTTTTACACACGCCGCCTGCATTCAATGATTTTTTTTATTTGTCTTCTTCCCTGTGAGTTCTTTCTAATCCCGGTGAGAACGAACTCCGCGCGGCAATATTAAAACCCCATCTGATTAATTAACGCATGTCTGTGGTATTGTGGAGGGAGAATGGAGCGGAGTGGGCTTGGTTGCGTTTTGCACAATGGGCGACAATGGATGTAACAAACTACAGTGTCAACACAGGCTTGGCTGGGCATTATCCGCGCCTGTCTGTAGCGGTAGGGGTTCGCGGAGACAGCCGGACGCCCTACTGGTACACCGGGAGGACTGAGAAAAGAGACCGTAGTGGGAAACAGCCCAGGCCGACGCCATGCACGCTGCGACCCGCACGGTCCACCCATTTAGCCAGGAGGAAATGGGATTTTCATTTATATGCTGGGATTTTCCCACAGAAGACTTTAAAGCCAGGACAGTTTTTCTGCGCAGTCTGGCTTTATGCTACACGCGGGTATTATTGGCCAAATAGAAGATGAAATACATTTCACCATAGATTGCCCCTTGTATAGTAGAGATAGACTCATTTTTTTAGCCATGTATTAAGTATATTTCCCCACGTCAGATATTTGACTAGTAAGGAGAAATTTGTATTCCTTTTAACTTTTGATAAACTTTGATAAACCTACTCTAAGTAATCTCACAGCCGCATATATCCATACAGTCACTACTAAGCGAGATGAAGCCGAAATAAATAGAAATTAGACATTTATTTACACTCTTATATGTTCATATGTATGTAATGTATATGTTTATGTTCATGTTCTGTACCCATGCATGCGACCTGTACTTAGTTCTGTAGAACACAAATGTACAATAAAGGTCTTCATTCATTCATTCTATAGATGGCGGGATCTTTTGAGGCTATGGTTTTTCTGAAAACTTTGACAAATATAAGGTGAAAATACGTTTTCGTCCTGGTAGTATGTATCATAAACACTCTATTATCAAAAATACTGATATCGATGTATGGACAACTGGAAACATTACATGGCAACAAAACTAAGATTAATAATAATTATAGATCAGTAAAAAAACAGGAAGGTTAGTAAAAAATAATAATGTGTAATACAAGCACAAGGATACACCATATAAAAAATAATAAAACACAGTTAGTAAAGATATAGAACCACGCATTTTAACATCATACTATATCATTATCATTATACTGTATTATACTTAACTCTTATATGTATTGAAGGTAGCAAATAATGAGGTACAAGTATGTACACTATGGCTTAAATATGGCATTCGTATATATCCACCATAATTTAGTTATGAATAAAATAAGCAGATAACATCAAACATGTTTGTCACAAATGGTGCCTTAAATTGTGCTAAAATTACAAGTAATTCACAACAACAGATAACAGCAATTGTGAACATGATATCTAACATTAGAAATCTGGGTGGGGACATTGATGAGTTTATGTATTAGAATGGTAATAATCATGTTTACCGAAGGAAACACATTGTTTTGCTCTGTTTCCTCTTCTTCTGTTCCAAACACCTGAACCAGACGTCTGTCACCATGGTAACTAGTGTTAGGTTACCTCATGTTGCAATTTTATAGCAGGAGTGATTTAGACTCCTGTCTGACCATATATATGAATGTGTTTGAGTAAGAATTAACAGAGCAGACCATATGCGAAGGTAAACATTCTGCATTTGCTTTGCAAATGTTACCTTTCTAGTTAATATAAACTTGGTAATTTCTGGAAAGCTGTGGCCGCTAGAGAAGCAATAGACGTGAGTTTGTCGTGACGTTTCATTTCTAGATTTTCTGTAAGAACATATTTTTTCAGTTATACAATACAGTCACTGATGCAAAGAGTTATTTTCAAGTACATTTGAACATATAACGGTTTCTTTCAATATTCCATTATATATTTTTTTAATCATCATGACGTTTCTGGGAGTTAGTTGGTTTTGAGTGAGTGAGTGAGCGAGTGAGTGAGTGAGTGAGTGAGTGGGTGTGTGGGTATGTGAGTGTGTGAGTGAGTGAGTGAGTGAGTGAGTGAATGAGTAAGTGAGAGTGAGTGAACAGTAGTATACAGAGATAAAGACCAATCCGCAGAGAGAGACAGAGAGACAAGCAGGAAGAAACGACAACAGTTACAGACAGACAGACATGTACTCTCCAAGCAGAGGTTGTGGGGGAATGATCGTTACCTTTTTATATATGGCCGGGTTTTTCTTTTTTTGTCCTGACCGTCGGTGGCCGCGGAGCTTCTCTGGCTAATGGATACTGCCTGGCCAATTTGATACTGTCTTTTTGCCACCGAAAGGGATCTGCTTGGAGATTAACAGACAGGCACACAGACAAGCGCCCACAGAACGAGTTGATTGTACAGTTTACCCAAGGTTAAACAGTAACTGTTTGATGATAACCACCGATGTGAGGGTAATAAATGCCCCAGGCGATGTAGGACAACATACATGGGAAGCATTTCAGTTTTTGCGTTACCTTGGAAAGATCTAGTCTCCACCAGACTTCTTTTGCGGGGTGAACAAATCGTAGAAATCGGCCTAAAAAGGGTATTAATTGGCCAGAGAAGGTAGCAAATGGAGCTTCTCTGGCCGGCTACCTTCTCTGGCAAATTAATACCCTTTTTAGGCCGATTTCTACGATTTATTCAGCCCGCAAAAGAAGTCTGGTGGAGACTAGGAAAGATCTGTGATGACTTGAGAGTTTGGGGGAGGGGTGGGAGCTTCTCTATCTCATCCATGCACCCAGAATGTCTGCTAGCTTTACATATCTACCCTCCTTAAAACAAGTCAATGAACTCATGACATTAAGTCATGTCACTCTTTACCTTTTCAATTAACTAACACGTTGACTCATCCCCAGTGGCGGTTTGTATTCTTTTTTGTTAGTGTACTGTGCTATTTTAGGAATGTCAGTGTTAAAGGTCACTGAAAAAAGAGGCATAAATTTGGCGTCTGTCTCGCCGTGTTACGTCAATGTGGGGGACTAGGCTGAACAATGTGCACCATACTTTACAGATCAGCTGGGATTTTAGTAATTTTCAAACCTAAGGACACACCGCCTGTCACCCTCAAAAAAAATCACGTCCACTGAGGGTCTGGCTCAGTGGACGTGTATTAGTAACTGTGCACAAGGCAGTTCGCCACAAGGCACCTGTCTACATGACACATATGTTCAAATGGCTGTCACCCCCAGTGCTGAGAGTTCGTACTCGCACTGCTACGAAACAGCTCTACAGCTTCGACCCTCACATGCTGGACACTCCTAAAGCACATGTGGAATCCTTCAAGGGCAGCCTGCAGTACCGAGGGCCTGTCCTGTGGAACAGTCTTGCTGCTGATCAGCGGAAACTGACGTCAACATCAGCATTTAAAAAGAAAAACGGACTGTAGACTAGTGGAGAGAACTGAATTTTGAAAATGAACTAAATGTGCCTATAATGTGACTGTGTTGTATATGTACATGTTTGTAACGTTGCTGTATATTGTTGGGTTCAATTTGTATTTTTATGAAATTGTATGTTTTAATGTGTGCCCAGGGATACCTGAAGAGCAGATCAATGGATCTGAGGTATTCCCTGGTGAAATAAATAAACTTGAAACTTGGCCTGGCTCTAGGCCTGGGTAGTCCATAGTAGTTAGCGACAATACGGAGCTGGGCACCCAGGCTACAAAAGCTCCACGACTCAAGAACTCATCAGTACATACGTATAGTGCAGATTCATAAATTCCGCAAAAAGCCAGCATGTGCCAGCTTGTCGTATATGTCGTCGCTATGTACTGCCGAAAATTCACAATACCAGCTTTGTATACCTACGGTTAAGTAGCATTTTTATTTCTGGCCGAATTCTTTTTATTCGCCCGCGCGCACTAGTTTAGGGGTCTTCAGAGTATGTCATCCATAGAATTAAGACGGTGTGGCCTAACGGGTAAAAATACTCCCCTTTATTGTCCATTATGACGTTTTAGAGTATATTGGATCTGATTGTATGCAGCTAGATTTAGCAACAGAAATGTAAAATTGTTCCTGATCATGTTTAACACACCAAATATTTTGTCTATGTCAAACAATATATTATAGTTTGCAGGTTTTGCTTTTCAAACAGCGACTTTGGAGCAAGTCGCGTAATGGTAAAAAGAGGACTTGTTTGGGACAGGAAAACAGTTGTAGAGATTGTTTAAGTCATAATTTGTGTATTATTATTTCTAATCTCTCTTCTCAGATCGACCTGTGTTAAACACTCTTTGTAACACTTGTAAAAAGTAATGTATATGTACTGTACAAGTTTTCTCAGTCAGCAAAGGATTAATCTTTTTTTCTTTGTCCGGCTAATGTTCTACAGGAAAAGAGAGAGGCTGTACGTGTAGGTACTGGCTTGACAACGTTCAAACGCCCCCTAGCAGTTCAAAGGAGAACAACAGGAATCCAACCACACCATGGCAGAGGCTGATGTCATCCATATAATAACATCAACATGATTAGATTCATAAACACAATTTTAAACATTACTATGTAAGGCCACATCAATTTCATTTGTTGGTTATCGGATTTTTTCAGAAAAAATATGAAGCGACAGGGAGACAAAAAAGAGACCTAGGCATCCTATGATAGCCCCAAATGGCATTATAGGAGCCATGAAGTCAACATACCATGCTAGTTTGTAATTCAAACATTAAATTTTAAACCTTTAGTAAAACCACTGCATTGATAGATAGAAAAACTGTAACAAGGTACTGTTGGGACCAAAATATGAGCATTTTGGAGTTGATTCAGAGTCTGAAATGTGTTTTTTTTTTGCAAATTAGAAAAAAAATAAAGCGGGCTAATCTGAGAACCAAGAAATTAAATTGGTGTGGCCTAAACATGTAACTTCACAAGTACGCTTCTTTGAGTGATGAGTCCACAGCCTAGTTAAAGTACATGGAATCAAATTCAATGTCAGAATGGTGTACAAGCACATACATGTAGGTTGACAACTTTAAACATTATTATAAACAACATGCATAGGTCTTCTCTGTAAGGCATTTCAAAATCACATGAAAGGCATTTCATTGCAATTGGAATACAAAAGAATCTCAGTTATGGTCAAAGAAATATACTAAAATTTGTTAATCTTCAATAGAAGTGATGGAAGAAACACTATCAACAAAGAAATGAAAGAAAATACAATATTGGTACTTTTAACAAAATTCATGTTTGCTTGATTTCTGAATATGGCACCATTTTTTTATGAGTCAACTTTGTTTACAATGAGATAAAAAACACTGGTACAAAAACATCTCATACTGCATCATATTGCCATATTTACAATCAGTGTTTTTTTAAACACCTAAATTTTTGCTCATTACATATTCACGTCTTACAGAATTGTTTAAACAAAACACACAGAAAAGAAATACAACACATACATGTATGTGTGGTTCATTACAATTGCATATCAATGGATTGCATAATATCACCATATACATTTGTATACATACATCATATACACAATATAATTTCTTAGTGCACAATATATATTACTGAGAAGTGATCGCAAGATACTTAATAGTATAAAACTGCCTGGAAAAAGGATGATGATGATTTATCATGCATATCTGACATAGAAAAATGCTGATACGTATTGTGTAGAAATATTGATATTTGGAACTAGGTGTTGTTTTATGAACATTTTAAAGATTACAGTACCCAGCTGTTTGTTTGGCCATTGCGCATATTGAGTTTGTAACTGGTGCCACAATATGTGATTTTCCTATTAGAAAAAAAAGTTGTACAAGTGGGAATGGGAAAAAAGTTGTGGCTTTAATGGCTATTTACAAATATTAACATAGCATAATTGTAAAATTGACAATTTTGGTCAGAAATACTATTTTTTGTCACTGCAAGAAAGATTTGAATTCTGCTAAAACAAGGTGTATCCTGATTTGACAAAGATGATGATCATGATTATGTTACAGACTGTTTTTGAAGTGATGGTTTTACAGAGGACCAGTGTTAGACCTGTGTTATGTCTTCAGCATGTTTCCTGAGAGAGTTGAGGAAATCTAGAATCTTTCCTGCCATCGCCTGGTCTATTAGGTACTGAGGGATCCAGCCCTGCAAAAGAAGAGTGAATATATCCATTAAATTTTGTACCTCGTATAAAAAGAATTGTATCAGAACATGAATTCTACTGATCAAGTTTGTCAAATAGTGCAGGGCTCGAAATACAAATTTGAAGCTGTGCACCCATTTTTTCTGTGGGTGCACTGGTGCACCCAAATATTTCTGTGGGTATTTTTGTACATCTCAAATGTATGATAGTATACAGGATATTCTTGACATCTAACTTTTCTAAGTGTCAGAAAAATGATAAAACCTGAGGTGAATTTAGATTTTGAAGTTAGCTCCCATTTCAGATTCAAGCTCAGAAGAGGAGCTGCTGCAGTAATATCTGTAATTAGGTTTTGTTCTATAATGGTGCACCCAAAAAAATGTTGGTGCACCTAAATTTTTAGGTTGGGTGCACCAGTGCACCTATTCCCAAAAATGAATTTCAAGCCCTGTAGTGTGTGCCAAATTTTGACATTAAGATTTACTTAACAAACAATAACAACAAGGCATGATACATAGTAACAGATTAAGAAAAAATAACATCAAAGGTCCTACAAACAAATTTTTACCTTGAGGTCTACATTGACAATCCAGATGAACAGACATTTATTGGGCTCATTGTCTATCGGCATCATGGCATAGCATCCAGGTTTGTTTTCTCCTCTGAAAACACATGAAAAAAATTATTTGCAGTCTATCAAAACAACTCCTCACACAAGAACCCACCAAACTTACTGCAAAAAAGTTCATACCTGACAGTCTAGTTTTACACAGCTTATTCTTACTGTACAAAACTGATGTTCTACACTAAGGCCACACTGATCTACATTTCATGGATGACATTCCTCTGAAGACCCCCAAACTAGTGCGTGCGGGCGAATAAAAAAAAATTCCAGTCAAAAATAAAAATGCTACTAAACCACAGGAATACAAAGCTGGTATTGTGAATTTGCAGTAGTACTTTAATAGAAACGAATGTATGTACATGTATGTACAAAATGTATACGACAAGCTGGCACATGCTGGCTTTTTGTGGAATGTATGAATCGGCACTGTACCTATGTACTAGTTCTTGAGTCGTGGAGCTTCGGTAGCCTGGGTGCCCGGCCTTGTATTTTCGCTAACTACCATGGACTACCCAGGCCTAGAGCCAGGCCAGATCCTCGGTGGACATGATTTTTTTTTGCGAACAGACGAAAATCAATGTGCGCGTGGATGTCATCCATAAAATTAAGTCGGGGTAGCCTTACTGTACAAAACTGATGTGTTCTGCTAAAAATCACTGGTTAGGCCACACCAATTTAATTTCTTGGTTAATGGATTCGCCCGCTTCATTTTTTTCTGATTTGCAAATAAAAATAAAAATTCAGAATCAACTACAAACAGCTCATATTTTGCCCTGAACAGTTGAAAACAGTCCTTTTCTTCCTAGTTGTTACAATTATTCCATCTTTCAATGCAATGGTATCATTAAAAGTTCAAAATTCATTGTTTAAATTTTGAACCAGCCTGGTGTGTTGACTTCATGGCTCCTATCGTACCATTTTGGGCCATAATATGATGCCTAGGCCTGTTTTTATTTTTATTTTTTTTGCCCGCCCGCTCAATTATTTTGCTAGAAAAATCCATTAACCAAGAAATTAAATTGATGTGGCCTAATGTGAAACAAACAAACCTGATAGTGTCTTTCCTAGGCGGTGCGGCTGGATGTGTGGTTGTTTTCCCAGCTGATATGTAGTACTTCCCCTTCTTCTGAATGTGGCGAACATTGACAAAATCCCTGCAACAAATACAACATCAAAATTTCGATGAAAACGGCTTGAAGAAAAATTCAAGAAGTGTGTTTGTATGTGACCTTGTGGGAAATGTTGACAAAATCCCTACAAGAAAATAATACAACATCAACATTCAACATCGAACTTTACAGCTCAAGGAAAAATTCATTTAGTGTGTTTGTAAACTATGTACCCTTGTGGTGAGTGTTGACAAAAGTCTGCAAGTACAAAAACAAAGAAAAAAACAAAACAATTTCTTTTGAAAAAGGTGAAGTGTGATGATGAAGTGTGATTGTACATGTACACATGTATGTGATCTCCTTTCATAATGTACCTGCTTGCTACAGCACCACCCAGTGCTTCTGTAGACTTGTCATACGTGATCTTTGTTTGGCGGTCAATAACTCGAAGGACCTGTAAAAAAATAACCACAGAGAAATTCATTGTTTAAACGTCCCAACCACTAAAAATAATAAATAAGCTTAGTGTAGAAATTTGAACTGTAGTAAATAGTGCTGCATACCTAAACCCAAATTTAGGTTCAGGTCCGGATTCAAGTCCAGAGGTTTAGGTTCAGTTCCGGACTTGTAAGTCCAGACCTAAACCCATGGCATATACAAAATTGCATGTTGGCAACCTTGCAATGTTGTCTGGGTGAAACTTTGGCCACATAGCATGGAGGCCGGTACTTGACGATGCCCGATGGCAATGTTTTCTTCATTTTGCAGCAAAGATTTTGCAATCTACAGAAGGTTTTAGGTGGTTTGGAAAGAAAAGGGGCATGTGAAATGGTCTTTAATGGTAATAAGTCCAGACTCATTTCTTGACTTTTAGGTTTTTTTGGACTTGAACCTAAACATTCTTACAAGTCTGTATCTAAGTCCAGTGAACCGGTACGCAGCACTAGTAGTAAATTTTGGTATAAAAATACCCCGGAGTACTTTTTTTCGGACAAGGTAATCAATGTTCCTGACCTTACATTCCTCCTGTGTGTCGTTCCAAGCAACGGCTTCCTCTACTTTATCAAACACGTCTGAGCGAAGTGCTTCTGCACTGATATCAAGTATACCCTGGAACAGCAAAACATTGCACAAACAAGTGTCAACATCAAGTACATGTAATATACTGTACAAGGCAATTTGCATTGCAGGAAAAAGCTCACTAAACATAATTTTACCAATCCTAAAGTTGACAGTCTTTTAAGACTGTCTTTAAAAGGTATTGATGGTAGGATAAGGCCACACCAAGTCAATTTGTTGCTTCTCAGATTTTTTCAGAAAAAAAATGAAGTGACAGGGCGAAATAAATAAAATAAAAACAGGCCAAGGTACCCCATGATAGCCGGAAATGTTACAATATGAGCCATGAAGTCAACATACCAGGCTGATTTATAATTGAAACAATAGCTTTTGAAATTTTTATGACACAAAGTTGCATTGTTACATTGAAAAACTTTAACAACTAGAAAGAAAGGGACTTTCCTCAAACGGTGGGGCCAAAATATGTCTTTCATTAAGCATTTTGCAGTTGAACCTCAAATCTTTTTTTTTTTGGAAATCAGAAAAAATGGACAGGGCGAATCCAAGAAGCAACAAATTAAATTGGTGTGGCCTAACATTACTGAAAATTGAGAAACAAACAAATAATAGTATGGATACACTTTGTACTAAATTTGTAGACTTCTAAAGTTGATAAATGATCAGTTGGTACTGTGTGCTAATTTTGCATCAATTTGGTTTAAAAATCAATGAAAATATGAAGCTTTTTCTCACCTGCCATTTGAATATTTTACCAAATCTTGGGTCCTTCCTTGAGAAGACTACATCTCCGTTTTCTTTCTCCTTCTCCTTGTACCATCCTTCTGTAGTGTTGAGAAGTTGCCAGCAGATGTCAAACGCTTCCTTTCCCAGCCTTTTATATTCCCGATCCTGAAAGCGACGTCACAGAACAGTGGTCTTGTGCACATTCAACTTTTTCTCAGCATTTTTGTTTGTTTTTTTCCTAGGGCTGCATATGACAGGAATTTTTTCATGGCAATCATGATCATCATCATCTCATTTCTTCTATCACCATCTAATGTTTTTGAAAATAATGTCAGTTACAGTGAATTACGTTACACTTTGATTTGTAGAAAACATTGCAAAATTTATTTACAATATTTTAGTTTGACACTTTTCACATCTGTGTATAATTTTCTTCCGCTGAAATTATATGCATGCAGCATAATAGTAACCATAAACGTTTCTTCACACAATCTTAATATTTACAAGCATACAAACATCACTGCAATCCCAGATGTTAGGGTTGTTTCAGACTTCTTACATCAAACATACCAAATCCAAAATGCCTTCACAGTTGTAAATTAAACCACTATACAGATTTTTTCTTTACAAATGGCTGACAGAGTAGTTAAGAACATCAAGTTGGTATCCTACAGGTAACAACTGTACATAACTAACTAAGCATATAGAAAGTATGATAATCATAATAGTTAATTATATACAACTTACAAGAATTTCTCAGATTTGATATTTATGGGTTCACCACACCACGAAGTGGTGTGGTGAAACCATATTGCTTTTTCTGATGTTTCTTCTCCTTCTCCTTCTCCTTCTTCTTCTTCTCCTGCCATTTTTTAAATGGATTCAGCTTCTTCATTTTAGGGCCCAAGGTCCTGAAACTTGGTATGGAGGTACAGTGGGCAAATACCCCTAGGCGTTTTTAAATTATTGTGATACAGGCTTTTAGAATGGTTTTATTTGAGTTTTTTGGCTGTGTTATAGCAAATGTATTACTGTCTTAGTGTGCCTTGTTTACCACGTTTGGACATGAGTCATCACAATGGAATGCAGGGCATCAACCAATAGGCATGCAGCTTTCCTCTATACTTCTTGCTGATTGGCTGTTGGGATTTAACTTGATTAACACCTGCACAGAAGCATTTCCATACTGACAGTATGTCTGTATTCAAGTGTTTTGGTAGGTATTTCAAGCTTTCCTGCTCCAGCATTGGAATGCCGGGCATGGACGTTTTTTTTTATTTTGAAAATCAACAGTTTGCATTATGCAATTAAAAATCCTAACCAATAAAGTAGGGAATAGCTATCCAACTGTTGTTTTTGTTGTATTTTACTTCATATTATAGTTACATCAATGTAAATCATTATTCGTAGCGATGGGAAGATGACAGACTCGAGACGGGATTCGACCGGTTTCGACTTTAATTCAGTCTTTATCAAGAATGTAATGTAAATCATTGTTTTCCCTTGTGTTTCTCATTCTTTCCCTGCCATGTTGTAAAATGTGGTGAACCCATCGCTGTATTTGCTCCAAAGCAAATATTGGCCTTTCTAGTTTTTCTTTCATTTACAGTATGTTTTACACTTTTGAAATTTCCACTGATTTTAGTGCAAATTTTTCCTTTAGATTTTAGTCCAAATCTAAAGGAAAATGGATTAAAGTACGATCTTCCCTTGAGGCATCACCATATAAAGTGAGCTAATTTTCATCAGGTTAAAGTATTGGTTGAAGGGTGGCTGTTCACCATTGTTGGAGAGGGTGTGGCTTGATTGGATGATGAGGAGCGCCCCCTTCTGGAGCTACGGCCAACTGCATCCTCGTCATCGCTAAACTCTGCAAACAAAAAACACAGAGACAATTCAGAAGACGTTCAAATATTTTCATTATATCCATAAATAATTTCATCAGGTTGGTAAACAAATGAATAGCAAAGTTCTTTGATCACAACCATTTATTTTTCACTAGCCGACGTTTCGATGACTGTCTGTCATCTTCATCAGGGCAATTCTGACTGGTTTACTGTGCACTGACGCTAGATTTTGTTTATTTTGTTTATTTGAATGATCTCCATTAGTGAGTATACACTTATACTCACTATTCTTCCTGGAGTCTTAAAAACATGTTACAGACTTATAACACAGACGTACACTTGCTTAATGCTATACATAAAATACAACAACCTGTAACTAATTACTTATTTAACCTATCCTATTCTGTGTACACCAAGTAATGAGGTAAGGGATTGTTAGAGAGGTCAGAGGTCAATGCATACAAATTATATATTTCCGTTTACATTAATACATACAAATTATATATTTACATTTTAAAAATTACTATACTACCACCAGTAGATGTTACTTGGTGCATAGTGTACTAAACTTGTATGTATTGAATGCATTGTTAACAGTAAAAACTAGCTTAAGTGCACTGTGAACTATGTAACACCTTTAGTGCACTATGCACCAAGTAACATCTAGTGTCAGTGCACAGTAAACCAGTCAGAATTGCCCTGATGAAGATGACAGAAGGTCATCAAAACGTCGGCTCGTGAAAAATAAATGGTTGTGATCAAAGAACTTTGCTATTTATTTTCATTATAGCATAGCAACAAAATAAACATTGTGAATTCTGTATTAATCATTGCCATTATGTTATCACTTTCAGTAGCAAAGATAGCAAAAATTGGTAACGTTATCATTTCTCACCTGTTTGCTTTGTTGTTTCATATTTACGTGAAACAGAGCACCTTAACCTTAAGCTTCGGTACATTTCATCGTTATCTCTGCACATACATGCCTGTTGGTGTTTTGTTTCTTTTTTGCTTTACTGGTCAATGTTCTAGAATAATGTTCTGGACATCTTTAGAATGCCTTTGACCTATAAGGGCATTGTGAACTAAAAGCAAACAGATTCTTACAAAAATGAACTTTGAATCCAGAAAAAGTAGGAAAATTACCTCTTGGCATTATCATGATGAGTATTATATGTACAATCTATGAATTATTTGATTAAGTTAGCAAAAGATGTCTGAAATCTCACCAGGGGTACTTAATGGAGAATAGAAGGATCCTACATCTGTGATACTGCCTCTCCTTGGCTGGTCACCTAGCAACGGTGTCCGCTCATGTGCACCTTGGCTGTGTTGAAGTCTAGCTTTGGCCCCTAGCAGCAGAAAGCAAGGACAACAACTGTTATACAATGTAAGGTTATTCTCTCATTAGGCCACACCAATTTAATTTCTTGGTTAACGGATTTTTCTAGAAAAATAATGGAGCGGGCGGGCGAAAAAAATAAAAATAAAAACAGGCCTAGGCATCCTATTATGGCCCAAAATGGTATGATAGGAGCCATGAAGTCAACACACCAGGCTGGTTCAAAATTTAAACAATGAATTTTGAACTTTTAATGATACCACTGCATTGAAAGATGGAATAACTATAACAACTAGGAAGGAAAGGACTGTTTTCATATGTTTGGGGAAAAATATTAGCATTTTGCAGTTAATTCTGAATTTTCCCTTTTTTTTGAAAATCAGAAAAAACTGAAGCGGGCAAATCCGTTAATCAAGAAATTAAATTGGTGTGGAGCACTAGTTAATGTTATCTTCCAATAAGTAAAAATTTTAGGAAGGCGATAATGCATACTACTTTATAGTATAAGTATTCGGTAGTTGCACATAAAAAAATTGTGATTACTCTGGAAAACTTTCCAAATACCCTGTAAGTAAGGACCTAGACAATATCAATTTTATATAAATTAGTGACTGTAATCTATGGATTAATTACATAATGGTTAACATATGGACAAGAAGTTTAAAATTACAGTGGAATGTAATTACGTCTTCAATTTTTTTAGAAAAAAAAAATAATTGAAATATCTTAGCTACACTGAGTAAACTTACGTTGTTCAAGTTTTCTCTCTTGTGGCAGCACCTTGAAGTCTAGAAACCATGTTTCTATCCATGCCAAGATGAAAGAAGACAACAGGACTATGTAGTCCATAGGATGGGTACTTCCAGAAAACTGCCAAAGAAAAAAGGGGAAAATATTTCAGTCATCTATGGAGGATGGCTACTTCCAGTCCACAATAGCAAAAAGGGAAAAAAATATTTAAGTCATCTATGCAGGATGAGTACTTCCAGAAAAATGCCAATAGAGAAAATGGAAAAATATTCAAGTCATCTATGCACACTGTTCGTCATCAATTGACAGCTTTTAAACATACATGTATTTATTTTTTACTTTTATACGATTAGTATGGATAAAATATAATTTTGTTCTTTGTCAGGTTTCTCCTCCTCCTTGCATGCAATTTCTTGAAATGAGTTCAACATTTCTTGGAGACAAATTTTGGAAAAAAACTATATATTTTGGGCTCCTGAACCCTGGTATTAAACCCAAATGACTTAAAATTTGATATGGATACCTTGAAGAAGCAAATCATGTACATTTAAATTAAAATTATTCAAAATTATCAATTATTCAAGATGATATTACACAATTATATCATACTTACATCATAAACAACTACTTTGTATATCAGGAACACACAAGACCCAAGTGTACAGAACTGAAACACAGAAGGTAAAACATGGTACAATTTTGTCTTTGAAATTAATTCTTTATATCATAATATCTGTAGACTATGAACACTACAAATCACAACAACACATAACAATGATTTGCAATGTAAAGAGATAATTATTAAAATCTAACTGGAGGAAGAATAATTAATCAAGAACTCCTTTTTACACAGTTTCCACACACAGAATTAGTACATTAATTTATATACTTTACTCAAGCCTGTAAAAAATGCTGTGTTTCCTGTTTCAGTCCTGAAAAATTAGGTTCTGTAGGTAGGGGTTATCTTCCTTCCTTCTTTCTTTCTTTCTAAATATGTCTCTCTCTCTTTCTTTCTTTGTCTCTCTCTTTTTTTCTCTCTCACTTTCTCTCTTTCTTTCTCTCTCTTCTTTTCTTAGACTTTGGCAATCTCTAGTTATCCAACTTTTACAATATAGTTTAACAAAGTAAAACTTTCAATGTCAACGTTGGAAAACCAATTGTACAACATATCATAACTCAGGTGTCAGCTCATGGAGATACAAAAGGTTGATCTGAGCTCAAAAATTAACGTCCCTTGCAAGGGTCAACCACAAAAAATTGAGGTTAGGGTTGACAGTTTTTCTAGGGTCAGTCCGGAAACAGGAAACACATTTAACATTTGTTTCCTACGCCTTACCGCTATCATCCACCAGTGGCGCAGTCTGAACAGAGCGTAGGCTAACAGCATGAACGTGACTCTGGCTGCCGACACAAGCTGCAACAAAACAGATTTCCTTGTGAGGTCATTTCCACAACTTGTTGTTTTTTAAAAAGATTAAATTTTGAATTCATATGTATTGAATTTCCGACATCTAATCACAAGATGTTATTTATATACTAGAGAAGTAACATTTGCAAAGCAAATATGCATAAATATTATAATGTTTACCTTCGGACATGGTCTGCCCTGTTAATTTTTACCCAAACACATTCACATACATGTACTAATAGTGTATGGTGACAGGAGCAGAGCAGACCATGAAATTGCAACATTATGTAACCCAACACCAGTCACCATGGTGACAGACGTCAACAAATCATGTCATTGGCCAGGTCAGAGGTTAGTGTTTGGAACAGAAGAGGAAGAAACTGAGTAAAAACAATATGTTTTCCTTCGGTAAACATAATTAAAGATTGCTACAGTACGGAGCTATTTAATAATTTTTTTTAAGTTTATTTATGGTTTCTAATTTTATGGTTATTAAAGTCCTGTCACCTAAAGTAAACAAGTGCTTCTGCAAAAGCTGACCATTTTCGCCGCTTACAGGCTTACAGTTTTTACGAACATTTTCCCCATCCTATCATTTCAATTTACCTAAGTTATATAAATGGTTCTAGTTCTCATCAACATTGTATATAATGAGAGAACATGCACTTCTATATTTCAACTCTTTAAGTTTAAAACATTACAAAAATCAAGTATATAACAGTTTATAACCTGTTTTCTCTCTTTTAAGAGTCTTTTTAACAGAATAAAAAAATGAGACACAAAAGTACATTTTAACTTAAATTATAAGTAACGTTAATATATATATATATATATAATTTATTACAAAATCTCTTCTATGGCTTTGTCCCCAACATCTAAGTTTACAAACCTCGTGACATTCAACCGAGGTCTTTAGCCAG